TTATGTATTTGATACAGGGTCTCACTAAGCTATGTGATTTTCTAAATTAAAAACATTTCTTGAAAATCCCGTAAAACCTCTAATGTATAATAACTAGCAAATATTCCCTTCACTCCGTTCATTCAGATCGGGGCCCTCCATTCTGAAGTGAGGAATGGCGTTTTAAACTTATGCTTGCATCAGAACATATCTGCATCGAAATCACATAAGTAACGCCACACCAACCTGATCTGTACCACCAGAATCCTTATTCTGATTCGCCGCACTCAGAGGAGTCGCACTTGATGCTTAAAACAGTGTTAGGCCCCGGGTGCCCCCGGCTCACCTAAGACTTACAGTGTCTTTAGAAATGAGGCTTTTTAAGCTTTACTTTCAAACGTGGGGATATAGTTTTCTAAGGGGATAAAAAAAAATCCATATTTTTCAGGGGAATCAAATAAATGTAAACTGACCCCCAAAAAGCTTTTTATTTCTTTGTGTTTTAGACATTAGGTTATGGATAAGTAATCTGGCACTTTTGAGGGGTATGAGATAGCAAACGCCCAGAAACTGAAACAAGCTATTTTCTTTCCCGCGGACGCTTTTCAGATGACCAGGTACAGAAGAGTATAACCATATCAAGAACACTATGCCATGTCCACTTTAAAAGTGCCTAATGAACGGCCTGCCAAATAGCTTCGCGGTAAATGCCTGCAAGCAGGGACAGCGGTCGGGGGTTCGAGCCCGGGCCTACTGTGTTGGCCCAGCCCACAGGGTGCCCTGAGATGGCAACTGAGACTGTGCACAGTGGCGCACGTCCATAGTCCCAGCTCATGCGAGGCTGTAAACAGTCTGATCTAGTAGTGAGACCCTGAACACCCTTCCCTAAAATACAAAAAGGGAAAAAAAAAAGTGCCTAGTGAAAATAATATTTTTATTGCTATCCTAAGCCAATTCAGATCCAAAAAGTAAAGTATTTCAATAATGAACATTTAGAAATAATAACATAACCGGTACCTAAACCCATCTTTTCTATAATTTAAAGAACTAATGACATCTTTATAAGGTATAGATGGTAAGGAAAATTTCTTATTACAAATTTATAAGATTGAAATAGCCTCAAATTGAAAGTATATTTTATTGAAAAAAGGTACATTTTAAAAACATTTTGAATTGTCTACCCCTAATTTCTAGACCAATTTCCAATGAGTCTTGATTTAATCATATTTTCAATTTGTTCACCTTTTCCTCTACTCTCAACAGCTTTTATTTATTTCTACCAATTTACTTATGGAAAAGCATAGGTCACTTCTTGCCCCTATTTTACCTACCTGAGCATCAAAAATATAATGCTATAGTCTCCAAAAGATGCCTCAAGGTCTCCTCCTTGGAAGGAGGAAATAGCTTTCAAAGAAGGCTTTATGAGCTCGGCTTCACAATATATTTCAAACACACCATCAAGTCAACACTAAGAAGTAAACATTCATGCATACCTCTAGAATGGCTGTAGTTAAATGACAGACAGTAAGAAGTGTTGCTGAAGGTGTAAAAAAATTAGAATTTTTTACATATTGCTAGAAGGAATATTATATTAATCAGCTTTCCTGTCACTGGCACACAATACTCAACACTCACAAAATAAAAGAGAAGAGTTTGAATTTGGCTCCTGGTGGCAAGGAATTCAGCCCATAGTGGGCTGGCTCTAATGAACATT